ACACCGAAGGTAGGGATGGATGCATGAGCTGCCCATGGGGGTTCCCCATCCCACTGCTGGCCTGTTCTTGGAGCCCTTGGGAAGCGAGGGCAGCGGGGAGCCAAGCAACCAGTACTGGGTGCTGATGGGGGCTGTGAGGAAGCCGGGGTGCTGCAGGCTCCCCCACAATGGCATCTCTCCCCTTTTCCAGACAACCGGCTGATGGCACGGCTGGCAGCGCCACGGGGGACCCGGCCGCCGAGCTCTGTCTGTCCATGAGGAGCAGCTCAGGGAGCCCGAGTGCCCGGCAGAGCTGGGAAGTAAGTTGGGGCTGTAGTGGGACCTCAAAAACCCCCCTTGCATCCAACGCCAGCAGAGGTGGGTGGTGGCATTCCACAGGGGTGGTGGTGCTCCCTGTCCCGGCTGATGGGTGGCAGCCTGTGGTGCCAGGGTGATAGACAATGGCACAGCCACACTGGGAAGTGCCCAAGGGGAACTTGGGGGCAATGAGATCAGTTCTGGCAGGAGCCAGGCTGCTGCACCCCACTGCAACATGGGGCTGGGTTGTGTTTCCCCAGTGGGCACCGTTCCCCTGCGCCTGCGGCGGTCGCCTGTGCTCAGGCACAGGACCAAGCACGAGTCCCTCTCAGAGATGGAGGGTGAGCCCGGACCGTCCTTGGATGCTGAAGGTGAGACACGATGCTAAAGCAGGCGCTGGGGTACGGAGGGTCCCGCCATGCTCACAGCTGTGACCTCTCCAGGTGCCACGCCGCAGGACTGGCCCCGTGCCGGGCTGGAGGAGCCGCAGACTGGCACAGGCACTGACGGCGAGCGGCCGCAAGCCCTGGCACAAACTGTTGGGAATGCACAAGACTCAGCTGCCGTAGACCAAAGACGCCCGGTGCCGGGCCGGGAGGAGCCGGCCCTGGGACAGTGAAGCCCCTGCATGTCACCACACTGTTCCCAATAAAACCCTGCAAGCAAGTGCACGGTGCCAGGGTGCTTGGCAGCTGGGGTGCGGAGAGACGGGGCACCAGGCTGGCGTGGATGTGCCAACGATGGCATCGCCCAACTTGTGCCACGGGGACAAGCCAGGCCACCAGCATCGCCCAGGATGCCCAGGGACCGTGCCAGAGCCTGCAGGACGCATCGAGCGGTGTCGCGGTGCCCGCTGTGGGCTGCAGGGGGGAGAGCCGGTGATTTTTCGGCAGCCAGCTATTTTTAGGAAGTGTTCCCAAGGCGCTTTCACCACTCCAGCTCCTCGCCCCATGGGGTGCCGCTCTCTCCAGCCCCCGCAAGACGCAGGCTTCCATCGGCGGGACCACCACCCCCAGCATTCCAGCACGCAGCTCCAGCCCCCCAGATCCCCGACGGCACCAGCGCGATCCCGACACCCCAGTGGCTTTCTCCTGTGTTGCCCTTCGCTCCGGACCAAACGCATTCCTTACACAGATGTTTACGACAAAGCAAGATGCTTGTTTCGGTTTGGTTTTATTTCTTCTTCTTCTTCTTTTTTTTTTTTTTTTTTTTTTTTTTAATACAAGAGCCGTGTATTTAAAAAATATACAATTTTTATTTTTAATTTCTACAGCATAACCCTGCGGGATATTTTTTGTAACAAACGGTGCAGGACCCTACCCAAACTAATCAATAAAACGTCCAAACTCCTGGGGCACCTTCGGAGAGGGGATCAGGTTGTCAGGCCTCTGCCATTGCTGCTACAGTGGCACTGGGTCACCTCTTGTCCCCAGATGCCAAGGCATTTGGAAAGGATGGCAAGGTGGGAGAGGGATGCCAGCTCACATGCAGGCATTCCTGCATGGATGCTTTTTTTCCCCTCTTGGCACTGAGGGTGCTGGCTTTCAACAGGTCATATCCCAGCATCCCTGGGCCAGGGTCTTTGCAGCCAGGTCAGCCTACTCAGCGGTCCTCTTGGTCACAGGGGTCCTGGTGTCCCCACATCCCCCCCCAACTGCTCTTCCCAGTGTTTTGGAGGATACGGTGAAAGAAGGACAGAATGAAGAACGGGCTAGGCTCAGGAATCCTCCTCCTCCTCCTCCTCTGTCAGTATCCAGCACGCCCACTTCAGCATTGCCTTGGAGATCCTGTGAAAACAGACAGGAGGAGCTGAGGTGAGAGGGAACCCGGCTGCGGACACGGCGCGGGGGCAGCCGGAGACAAGGGGTAAGGCAGAGGTTGGGAACTTGCTGTAGGGATGCAAGCAGTGATGCTCACATCCCACAGCAGGGACAAGGGACAGCCACACAAGTCCATGGCTGCACTGACCTGATAGACTGTATCTGCTGGCAGAGCTCGGGGCTTGGTGCCTCATATTTGTACTGGGCTGGTTTCCTCACGTACTGCAAAAGCAAAGGGGAGGGTGAGATGGGTCTGACCCAGACGCACAGCCCTGAGAGCCCAATACCCCTAGGAAAGCTCTGGAGTCTCTCTCTCAATTGTTTCCTGCTCTTTTGATCTTATTTTACCCAGATATCTTGGAAGATGCTCCAGAAATTGATAGTTCCCACTCAGCTCGGGCTCAACCACATCTTCACCATCCCTGGAGGGATTTAAAGGCATGTGGATGTGGCACTTGAAGCCACAGTTCAGTGGTAGGTGTGGCAGTGCTGAGGGAACAGTTAGACTCAGTCTCACAAGGTCTTTTCCAGCCTAAATGATTACAATTCCCACGGTGTTCCCAGATCCTTCACCATCTACACCGACACCTACTTTAAACTTCCCATCCCCACGGGACGATGAGGAAAGATGCTGGGAATGGACATGAGGGGTGTGGGCACAGAGAACCTCCCCAGAGACCCCCCAGGCCCCAGGGACCCCACCAGCTGCTTCATATCTACCGGCTCCAGAGTTCTGCGCTGCTCCGGCCTGGAGCTGGGGCCGCTCGCAGAGGATGATGCTTGCTCTTCTTCCTCCTCCTCCTCCTCTTCCTCCTCAAGCTCCTTTCCATGTTGCAGCCCTGTCTCCTTTCTGCTCTTCTTTGCACCCCGTGGGCTCCTGAGCTCTGATCTCCTGCCCGTGCCTGTCCCCCTGCCCCTTGGGGTGCCCTGGGGATGCTGCTGCTCGCCGGGGGCCAGCAGTGCCTGGTCATCTCCCACCATCAGCTTCCTCTTGACACCCGCAGCAGCTTGGTTCCGTGTCCTGGCAGGAGCTGGAAAAGGCTTCAACGCATCTGGAGGGAAAGCTGTGCCACCGGAGCACGCCTGCTCCCCCTGAGGCATCCTGTTGGGCATGGATTGCAAGCTGGTGCTGGGCAAGACAGGGAAATCTGGAGAAAGAGTTGGCAGGGTGGTCTGAGAGCCCCTTGATCCCTGCGGGCCTTGAGCAGCGCAGGGGGCACCACAGGCTGCCCCCAAAGCTGATGCTGCCTGGCTGGTGCTGGTCTTCAGTGGACTGGGATTGCTGTAGGAGCAGAGCAGGGAGGGAGAGAAAGTCTGTACTGGCTCTCCCTGTGGCAATCTCTTGGGAGAGTCCTGGCTACACAGGTCTAGCAGGTCGGGGGTGTTGCTGTCAGCAGACACATCTTTCTGGGTCTTCAGGGAAGCATCAGGTTGAAAGGTCTTCTCTGCTAAGAGGAAACACATCATCAGTTTGGGCAGGGGGTTGGTGGTGGGACCTGCCCCAGCATGTCAGTGTGGGCTGGAGTGTCAGAGCTGGAATGATGCAGGCACAGGGCAATGAGAACAAAGCCAGGCTAGAGTTGGGGCACATGCAGCTCTTGTTTGCAGATCAAGCACTAATTTTTGGCCAGGGAAAATCAAGCCAGCATCCAGGATGAGCTACACCCATTGAGAAGAGAGTTGTCTCCTGCCAGCAAGGCAGGCTGGATGCCCTGGGACATGGGGACTCACCATCTGAAGAGCTCGGGGTCAAAGACAGTGAGGGGATCCTGTTCCAGGGGTTGTCCAGGGATCCCTCCAAGCTATCTGACAAGGCCAGTGACTCAGCATCTGCAAGGAAGAGGCTGGAGGGTTGACTCTGGCAAAGAAAGCAGCTGCCCACTTCCAACCCTGTGCACAAGGTCTCAGACAGAGACAGCTCTCAAGAGGAATTCTGAAACCCTTTCCAGCCCAAAATGGGGTATTCAAAGACCCCAGCCAGCAGGCAGTGGAGAGGCAGACACTGCCCAAAGAGCAGGCAGTGAGAGGAAGACCTTCTCCTACAACCTGCACTATCCAGGATAGCATCTCCCTTCACCTCCTTCTCTACACAGAGCTTCTGCAGGTACTTGTGCAGCAAAGCTTTGTGACACCAAGCTCACTGAGGTGACACAAACCCATCCTGGTGCTGAACCAGAGTCAGTAAGGAGCCTACACTTGGGCAGGAGACTCAGGCTCTGTGCTGGCATCAAAGGGACAAAATGACTTGTGTTCCCAGCATAATGAACTAAAGCTGCTCAGCTTCAGGAGGCTGCAGGAACAGAACCACTCCCTGCCTGCTCAAGGTCTCCAAAGACCTGGCCATGCTGGTACCTCCTCTGCTCAGTCCAAGGAGGTGGGTTGAGCCAACTGCACAGGAAACTAATAAGAGGCTGGATGGGATCTGGAGCAAGTCCAGAGGAGGCCACAAGGATGATCCAAGAGTTGGAGCACCTCTGCTATGAAGACAGGCTAAGAAAGTTGGAATTATTCAGCCTAGAGCATAGAAGGCTACAGGCAGAATTCAGAGCACCTTCCAGTACCTAAAGATGCTCCAAGAGGGATGGAGAAGAACTTCTGACAAAGGCATGGATTTACAGGACAAGAGGGAATGCCTTCAAACTGACAGAGGACAGGGTTAGATTAGATATCAGGAAGAAATTCTTCCCTGTGAGGGTGGGGAGGCCTTGGCATAGGCTGCCCAGAGAAGCTGTGGCTGCCCCATTCCTGGAAGTGTTCAAGATCAGGTTGGACAGGGTTTGGAGCAATCTGGTCTAGTGTCCCTACCCATGGCAGGGGACTGGAACTAGACAGTTTTTAACACCCCTTCCAACACAAACCATTCTGGGATCTGGAGGACCCGCTACTCACGGCTGGCTTGGGATACAACACTTGGGTCCCCTGGCACTGTCCTGTCATCACTACTCTTCCCAGGAGTTGTTTTGTTTGTATCTGCAATGAAAGGGGCGCTGTTGGTCGCATCCCAGCATGTGGCACAGCCAGAGCAAAGGAACTGTCCTCCCCACTCCAGGGAGGCCCTCATTTCGTATGGCTGGGCGCTGCACTGCCCATCTGGGTACCCTGCAGATGCAGACACTGCACTGACCTGTCCTGGAAGAATCACAAGCAACTTCCTCCTCCTCAGGAGGGATCACCAGGGTGTTGACTGGGACCATGAAAACATCATGACCCTGCTGAAATGAGACATGTTATGTGGTTTTCCCTCTCCGGGTGCAGGAGCCCACCTGTACCTGCCAGCCGAACACCATCTCCCTCCCCAGCCAACCTCCAGCTCTGCCCACCGCCCTTCCCCTTCCTTCTCCCACCCCACCAGAGCACCATGAGCTGTCGCAGCCCCGCCTCAGCTGCTCCCAGAAGCCAGACTGACCTCTTTCTTGCGCTCTGCCTCCCACTCGGTGACAGGAACCTCGTCCGTCACCGTCACCGTCTTCTCCTCGGGCATCCGTAAATCCAAGCATTCCTCAGCATTTTCCTTCAAAATCTCCAGCTGGTTCTGTCCTATGGCATCAATTAGCTGAGAGATGGAGGGGTCTGAAGCAAGAACACAGAGACACATGTGGAGCAGACAGCTGAACTCTGGCAAGCCCCACTTGCAAACCCTTTTACTTAGCTGCATGACTGTTGTGTGCACTGAAATCTGTGGAAATATCCAAAATTCTGCACTTTCTTTGCTTCTAGAAACTCTCTTTCCTTTGTCCACACTTCCTGGGCCAGCAGCATGAACACAGCATGCCATGTCCCATACTGCTTCAGCTATCAGCACTGCCTCATCCTGCTTTGGGTTTAGCAACATATCCTTGTGAGATCTGGCCATACTTGTGCTACCTCTGCCTAACACACACCAAGCTGAGGAAACCCAGCAACTCTACGAGGCAGCCAGAGCATCGTGTGTCCCCCACAACTCTTTACCTGAGCTGGAAGCATTCCTCACAGCAGGATTCCTCCTGTAATGACCAAGGAGAAGACAAAGCCAGGTTAGGGATGGGTCATATGCAGCTCTCGGTCATAGATCAAGCACCCTGGCTTGGCAGAAGAGGCTTGTGAAAGTTGTGGATTCCCCACTGAGTGCTGGGATCCCAGGGATAGACATCAGGGAGCCTCACTCCTGGAGATGGACTGATGGAGGGCCCCAAGTATCTCCAGAGTTGGGTCTCCAAGGGTGGAGGGAGGAATGAGCTGTGCAGGGCTCACCCACCCAGCTGTGCTGCCCACCACTGGCAGGAACAAGCTCCCCACGGGTGTTTCCTCCCAGCTCAGAGGAAGGGGCTGGGGATGAAGAGCCCTCTGTGTCACCAGGATCTCATTTTTCATGGTCTACTCAGCTCTGTCACAAGTTGGGGCAGGGAGTCACAGGTGAATCAGGAGCTGCCACCACACTACCGGCCCTTGCCAGCCTGCCCTAACCCCAAGCCCAAGCCTGTATGCTCTCATCAGGGTGTCTGGATACACCTCTCAGCCCCACACTTACAGCCACAGCTCCTTTATCTTCTTCACCACAGAAGGCTCCTGGTTCCTGCAGCAAGAGAGAAGCCAGTTACTGTTTCTCTCCAAATCCCCATCTTCCATCTCCTTTGCCATGGAGACAATCCCTCTTTCAAAAGGTGCCCACCACAACCAGGTCACACCAGGACCCTGGAGTCAGTGCTGCTCTGGGAAGATGAGGCAGCTCCCCTGAGCAGAGCCCCCTACCCACCCACCCCACAGGCCTTACCCATCGGATGATTCTATCCTCTGCCTCTGGATGGGCAGCACGATGAACTGCTGGGCTGTGAGGTAGAACTCGCAGTCCTCCTGCGGGGAGAAGAGACCCTGCAAGGCACCTCTGCAGTCCCACCTCTGCCCTTGCCTCCCCCAGGGCCAGCCAGCACCCACATACCCACCCCACCTCTGCCACCAAACCCCCAGCCTAAGTGAGGGTCCCCTCACACAGGACAACCCCCCTTAAACGGGGGGTTTGTACCCTCCTGTGTCAGCTGATGGCTCCTCAGCCAGCCCCGGGGAGGCTGTGGGGACACCTCTGAACCCCTGAGGGGACAGCAGGCAGCTCTGCCACCAGCCCACACAGGTCTTCTGCAGCTGCCCAACAGTGACAGCCAGACTGCCCCAGGGGGAGATACACCCCATCCCCAGGCAGGGCTCATCCCCACCCCAGAGCCCAGGCCAGCTGCCACACACCTCCCAGGAGCTGCAGACGAAGATGAAAGGCCACCCACCCATCATCTGCCCATCATCTTCACCCATCATCTGTGCTCAGCTCCTGGCAGCAGCTGGAAGCAGGCAAGTGTGCAGGCACAGCAAGGTAAAGGAACAGGCTGCTTCCACTCCTCAGAGCACTTACCAGTCTGGCCTCCTCCTGAAAACACACTCTGTACTTCTGCAGGACGACAATTCTGCAGGTGAGGCCGGCAAGCTGGACCTGCATGTGGACACTGGAAAAGGAGCAGAGCAGAAACACCCTTGGAGAGATGAAGAATGGAGCTGGACCCCCCCAGACACACAGTGGGGCTCCCCCAACAGCTCTGCCAACCACACTAGGGCATGCTGGAACATGTCTAGGCATGAGCAGCAGGGACTAAGGGCTCCTTATTCCTTAATAATTCCTGCCTAAGAGCAGCTTCTTCCTGCTGCTTATCCTTGGCTCTGCTACCTGCACTCCACCAGTTTAAGGGTGTCCAAATGGGGAAATGGAGGAAAGCACTGAAGGAGCAGCCCATGGTTAATGCTCTGGCTCCTTTCACAAAACCCACAGGCTCTTCAGTCCTTTCTAATGGTATCACAGCTTCTGCCACGGCCCCCTGCCCATCCCAGCCAGCCGAGACCGGAGCACAGCATTCCAGCTTGCTTCTCTTAGCAGCTCTTTCACACCGACTTCCCACCCTGAGATTGCTTTAGCTTAACACAACCTGAAACAAGACCAGGCAGGAGCCCCACTAGCAGCTGTGGAGAACCGCTGTCCCAGCCACAGGTGAGTCATGGTGGAACCCACTTTTCCTCTGCCTGCAGAGCATCGGGTGTAACGACCACGCGGATGTAGTGGGATCCATCGGTGACCTGCAGAGAAACACTCTGGAGGACCCCAGGCCGGTCAGGGGCATCTGAGTCACTCATGACCTGTCAAGAGATTGGGGAGGATGAAAAAAGAAATCTCGTTTATAGACCTGGAAAAGGCTTCCCAGGAAAGCTGTCACGGCACCAAGCCTGCCGGAGCTCAAGAAGCGTTTGGACAATGTTCTCAGACACGTGGTGTGATTCTCACTATGGGCAAGTCCTGGTGGGCAGCAGAGGTGGAGTGGGCTCAGCCCACGCTTCAGGACAGCACCAGTACCAGCAGTGGGCAGGGCTGCTTTCAGGACTGGATAAAAAAAACTGAAGAAGAGGGTAGATTTGGGAGTTACAGTTTTGAAACAGAGGATGGAAGGCACAGCTGGAGCCCAGGGCCCAACTGTCATCCATGGTGTGGGTACAGGCTGGAGAGTGGTCACACCAAGGGAACTCTCCCCATTAACCCCTGAGACCTCGGGTGAGAGGGGATTTCCTTATTCACTGGTGACTTCATCAGCCCAGGCACAAGAGATCTCCTGCTTGGGAGAGGGGACTTGGAAGAGGGAAACAGTGATTTCACCACCTCCATGTCTTCAGATGGGATGAGGAACAGGACCACAGAGTTGGCTTTCTCTGACTGTTGCTTATTTCTCCCCATCTCATCTCTCCTCCTATTTAAATCACAATTCCCATCCTTTTCCTTCCTGCCCCTGTTAGCGAGGAGACATGTGAGCTTCTTCAAACATCTCCTTCCCCAAAAGAAGTCAGGAGATGGCCAACAATAATGTCCATGGTGGGATGCTGCTACAGCACCCAAAGGCTGTGGGGGAACCACAAACCAGAGCACTGGAGCTGGGTTCCCTCAGCAGACATCAGTAACCCATCACAAGGCCCACCCAACATTTGCTTGTGCATCCACTTGTCTCACAGCATCTTCATTCAAACCTTCCAAGCCCACACCAGCACTGACTCCACTCAGTTGTGTTCCTCCTGCTTCCTTCCTCCTTCTAATCAAGCCTCAGACATCCCAGAGTCCCCTGACTAAAGCCTTCAGGAGCAGGTTTTGTGCCTTAGATCTCCATGTCCTGAACCACTAAGAAAGAGGCTCTCCCAGGAGAGGAGAACGAGCTCGTGGTCCCACCAGGTCTCACCATCAGGCAGGATGAGACTCCAGACACCTCAGCAGGTCCTGTTTCTGCCTCGTGCTACTGTCAGGACCCTCCATCATCAACTGCCATGTTACAAGGAAGGGATGCAAAGAGGACAAGGAGGAAGACAAGGCAGCCTGCAAGTGTAAGCCTAGGAGAGATGACCTCTGAGACTCACAAACATCTCGGGCAAGAGCAGGGCACACCTACCATAGGTGAAAAGTCAGTCAAAGCTGCCAGAAATGGGCAAAGCAAAGTTCCTCCTCCTCAAAAAAAAAAATTAGAATCAGGGACATTGAGGAGGAACGGTCACACATCCACAGCCACCAAGTGGGGAACCACGGAGCACTTGCATGAATTTAGATTTCAAGGGCTGTTGGAGCACTTTGGGACAGTCCCTCTCAGTACCCACCCGCACCACCTGCCCAGCCAGGAGATTCTCATGGTAACCCAGCTGGTTATCCTTCAACAAGAGGCTGACGATCCACGGCTGTAGGACGTAGATTTTGGTAAAAGACACATCCTTGTGTACAAACATAGACCTGCGGGAGAAGAGACACCAAGCCATAAGCAATGCACCAACATCCCGGGAAGGGTTTTGAATCCCAAACACAGCCACAAACCCAGGAGATTGCTGAAATCCAGCCCAAATCCCACCACTTCTCCACAAGGACCCATCCTGAGGG